AAAATCCCGGTCAACAAGTGTTTTGGCCCTTTCTCATCATTTGCTCTGTTACTGGTTGCAATTGCGCAATAAGAGCTTCAATCTAATCCATAATATTCATAAATAAGATCCTTTAATAGTAAGGCAATTTGTATCTATCCCAGAGTTTCAATTGACTATAATTATTATTAAAATGAATAGTTTCTTCAATCCAACATAATTTTTTCCAACAATAATTCTGATCAACATCTCAAGCAAGACAAAAATATTTAGATATATTAAATTATGATTGCTATATGAGGACTAAAATAGTTCGAATTAAAAATTTTAAAGGCAAATTATACTATATTTTTTAATCTAAGCATTTGTAATGCCAAGGCAAAATTAACATTCTATTATTTGGGTAACTTTCAAATAAAGATAGTATGCAAATATAATCATCCAGCCACCTCCAAACATTCTAATATTAGAACTATTCACTTTTTGTAGCCGACCTTAAACTTACTTTTATTTGAGCCGAGATCCTAGGCTATAGCCTAGGACTTATAAGTCAAGCTAAAGTCACTTACAATTAGGATAAATTAGATTAATTTTGACAAGTCAGGACATCAAAATTTGTTACTGTGTGTCACGTTCTGTCTCTATCTTCCCAACTCTCACATACCTCCTCCTCAGTTACCGTTACCGTTACCGTTATACCTACGTCCATGTGTGAGTGTAGGTAAGCGTATAATGAGCTTCTGTTTTTGTATATTAATTTCCGGCCGCATCTCTCGTGTCTGTTATGAACTGCATTTAAATTTTCCAGACTTTGCACGGCATTGTACCATTGTATGCAAATCGTTTGTGGCACAATTATTTAAATGACTTAACATGGGCTTAAAGAACGGAAATACCCGCTTAGTATTATCTGTAGAACTGGACCACTGTGTTTGGCTGATACCATTTGCTCTTTTCCGTTCAACCTACTCAGTGTCAAATATTTTCAAGCCAATTTCCATTCTTTTGAGTGTTGTTGGTTAATTGTTTTGTCAATTTCAATGGCGAACAAGTCGGTGGGATTACACTTTTGTATATACGTATAGTTTATTGCAGCAGATATACCCGTTTTCTGTCTGTTTGCCAGTACGAAAGAGCGCAAGCTATTTCATTATCATCAATAATAATAAATTATTCATTTCCCATTATTCCCAAATTGTGTAAGATATACCTCGACTATCTTTAGAGCTAGATTTGAGAGTCGTGTTCTGGTTACTTTTTTTTCACGATTTGGGAGCAGATTCTTGTACAGAAACTACAAATTATTTGTATTTTAGATAGACTGCCCGATTAGAGTCGATTGCATTAACTGCATTAAATATACGCAGTTAGCCTGCTAAACACAATATGAGTAGGCTGGATTGTTCCTACATATATGCTAATTTAGAACTAGACTTTCAAGTGTACAGTATTTTGTTAATGGTTATTTAATTAGCTGGCTTATAGTAGGAAAATTAGAATTTGGTTAATAATAATTGATAAAAAATAAAATGCACATAGGTATAGTAAACTGAAATTTTGAAATTAACATATAGGACTAGACGTCAGCAGGCCTCTCAGCTCACATGGAACACAAATAAATGTATATATGTATTTGGATCTTTATTTTGATTGGCTACACCGTCCATCCTTGTTCCATCCTTATTTGGCACAATCGCGCTTTTCGGCCTATTCTTTTGGGAACTCTATTTTCTTTTCCATATCTGCAGGAGAACGTATTATTTGCCTGGTTGCAGCATATGGTCTTCATTAACATACGTATTCTTAAAACAGTTTTGGAAAGATAGACGTTCACATAAACACTGTTCGTTTGTCGATATAGCATCAGAAGCATTATTCTTACTAATATTGCGCACCTGCATATTAAACATTGGATTGCAGGCGGGGAAATTAATAGCACAAGGAACGCGAATGATGCAACATCCGAAACGATTTAGGAAACGTAAGGCCATAGTCAATAAATATATAGACCCAAAATTAGGGGAACTGAGGACTTGCTGACTTTTCACTAGCAATTTAGATGTTCTCACAGGAAATTATCGGAATAAACAGCCTCATTTTCATAATATTCGTAGTTCTCGAAGAAGGTCTTTTTCATCGCCTGCTGTTTAATAACTTTCCTCTTCTTATTTAACATATATAATAGAATTTTGTTGAGTGTGTAAGTGTAAGTAAGTAAAGTAAAGTAAGTGTAAGTAAAATCTGTCCATTTGGACAATGATCAGATCCGGTGACAAGTTTAATATACGGAGCGTTAAGAAAAAAAAAGTCTGTCAAAGTAAAAATCCTCAGGAGGGTTTAGTGAGTGAGGTCTTCAATCTTCATCTGCTAAAACCGAGGAGATAAGTCCAAACTTACAAGTTGGGATCAGGCTTGAATGGAAAATCCAGAGGGTGTAGTCTTTTTAGCCTGCGACAACAGTTTTCATTTGTTAGGTCAGCCGCTAGCCGGTTAGGGTATCTGCAGAGTCTGTCGAGGTGACGGACTACAAAGCTCAGAGCCTCCTTGTGACTGAAGGGGTTTTTAGGTCCCAATAAATCACAGCGTTCTTACGTAGCAACTTGCTTTGAAATCTTTGTAGAATTTCTATGTTGGAGTGTTTTTATCTCTTTTAAAGATGCATATATATGTAATATTTTCGACGCATCTCATCTTACTCATCTTAGTAATCCGCAATCAATACGAAATTATTCCTACCGATCGGGAACTTAATAGTTGCTATTTTTGAAACTATTTTTGGTACGTTCTCAATTGTTCAGACAGATAGGAAGATCAATGACGAGAATGTTACAAAAGGAAACTATGAAAATGCCATTAATCAAGGCTTAACAAATTAAACTAAGTGGAAAATTTTAATTTGATATTACCCTTGAACGTACACGTAGTCGAATCCTTGCCTCAAAGTACCAACAACCCTCGGACTATTTTTACGTAGGATCACCTTTTTTCGGGGTTGACATTCATATGCGAATGATAGCTGCGAAATGACAAACTATTAAAATGCCTTTTCTATGCAATTTTACGCCATGATATGAGTACGTTGTGTGAGTCCACTTTTCTTCCTGATTTTGGGTTGTTTTTCCACATTTTCTGCAGCGAATTTTATAGGACTTTTAGCCACCACCACAAGGGCATATGAGCATATGTCTGTGCCTGTGTGTGTGGCTGGGTGTGCGGCTAGGTGTCATCGTTCTTCGCTGGCGTTGAAAAATGGGCTTGGCCGTCGTCCCTTTGATTATAGTTTAGGTGTCAATTAGCAACGGTGCGGTTGGGTGCCTCTCAATGATACGAATTATATATTTTAGTAGGAAGTGCTCATAATCCGGGACTTAATGAGACAGCACATGTAAACGAACGCGACTGTTGACAATAGCTGGTTAGAATTATGTGCGTAACTTAAACTTGTTCATGAAAAGAGCATATGATTTGCTAGGAGAATGTGATATACACAAACCGGGACGGAAATATTATGTGCATCACGCGACTCACTGACCATACGCATTCGAAGAAGATCTGTACATCACATACATATAAGTATATAAACATATTTCTATGTTACATATGTACTTTGCACATTGCATTTGCTTTTTATATATGTATGTGTATGTGTAAGCATTTTCACACAGAGAACGTATATTTATGATCCCGAACTAACATGGGGGTTGGTCTATGATTTTTTCGCTCGCTCGCTCTTCCCTTTCCCTCTCGCACTCTGTGTGTTTTGGTGTCATTTGCTACACGTGCTTAAATTCATTTAATTTATTTAATACTTGAAAATACATTTATTGTTTACAATTGTATTGCACACGAAACATACCCTCCATTCATTTTGCTCTTCATCGGACATAATCGTCAACCCTCCAGCTTGTCATTGAGGAAACTACTTGAACTATGGTATTGGGTGTGACTGCGAATGAATTTTTATTGCGTGTTCGATACGCTGCGTAACACTGTGAGTAGGCATCGAGCCTGGCATCGCCGCTTGGGGATTGATTCCCGTTCATTTGCTGAGGTTGCCTTGCTAGGCACGGGCGTGTCAAGCGAACGGCCTTGGAATGTTGAACTAGAACTATATGTATGCAACAATGTTTAATGCATCTGCATCTGCATATTTGTAGTCGTGGCTTATCATTTGGTACACTTCTCGTTCCAAGGCTACAATCCTGCCCACTGGCTCTCGCTGCTTGTTGGACACATGTACCTAAATCGTGCTTTTTGCGATGCTCCTCTGTGGCGATGCAGGTGATGCGCAGTTATAAGCAACAAGAGCCAAGGACATTCTTGTCCAATTACGGTATTGAATATCAAGGCTATGCACTTGCCAAAACTTGTCTTATAGTCTTGTTAATAATACAGATAGGGTGGACCAACAGAGATTGAATAGGTTTGACATAGCCATGTAGTAAGACCACCCATTCCTTCCAACAAAAAGCTTTCGAGTTTTTAATACGAGAACTATTCCTCATCCATCTCTCTCCCTCTACAATAAGAGTTCCGAGAATTGAATCCGTGACTCAACAGCTAAGTGAAAAGAAAAATTAATTTAGCGTAAGATCAAAGCCCACACATACATAATATGAGTGGCCTGGGTCCGGCTGCCTGTTGGCTAGCACACAAGCGAATCGAATCGTGGTCCCGCATGGCCAAGGAGCGCGTTGGTGCCGTTCGCCGTGTTACACTTGACCGCAATTCGGCTGACGAAACTACTGGTAGTGGTAGTGGCAGTGGCAGCGGCTGTGGCGGTTGCACCCAAATGCTGCCAGGAAGCGAGGGTGCAGCATCCACGACACCGCCGCCGCTGCAGCCGATGACGCCGCCGCCCTCGGCATCGTCGGTGACCTCGACGACGAGTGGCATTGGCAGTGTGTCCGCCGGTAGTGGCAGCGACAGTTGTGATTTGCCGACGGATTCAGAGGTGCTTTACCAACAATCACATCCGCATTAGTCCCAAATTTAAATATTCGAATTTGTGCCGTTTGCAGGAAGTCAACATTTCTAAGGAGTCACACACAATACAACCGGCCACACAGCTTCATGGCATCCCGTATGTACCGACCAATCCGATTCCATCTGACATTTTGCGTGGTCCTGCTGAGATATTTCACAGCCCGTTGCACTTGCACCATCAGAGCCGTTCCTTTCCACCGCGTCTACAGCGCACACCCTCAATATCCAGTCAGAGCAGTATGGATAGCGCTCCGTCCCGGCAGTCGGTGAGTTCACTCCTCCAAAACTCTATTCTCTAACTCTTGCTCTATGTTTAATAATAAAAACGCAATGTCAAATATTAGGGACATCGCGGATCTTCACCCCAAATAAGGACGTTTGGTCCCGACGGACGAAGTTCTCTTCCGAGTGATTCAGCGTTTCCCCACCATCTGGCCCGTTCGCCCAGTCCCATGCGAACTATTTCGCTGGATGCTCGTTGCAGCAGCCCGGCTTCAGCTGATGTAAGTGTTATGCGGACCCCAAGCCCCTCCCAGAGCAGCCTAGCCTCTTTATCTGGTGGGGTCGGTGTTGGATCTGCACCGAATATGGTTATGACTGGTGGTGCTGGATCTGTTGTTAGCAAGGGCATGAGCATGAACGTGAATACTGGTCGCTGCCTGTCCCCACTGCTCATACCTCCACGTCCTCAGCCCGGCATTGACCCAACTGTGGGTCCGGCTTCGCCTCTGGGTGCCCTACAACCGGACCTATACCGAATGCCCGATGGACCGATCTACCTGACGGCCCCCGAAACTAGCCATGCTGTGGGCCGTTTGCACTTGCGGGTAAAATATGATTACCACCTATTCGATTTAACGGTTCACTTAATAGAAGGTGAGTACATTTTAGCTTCCATATCTGGGAACTAAAGCTTTAACACTTTGAATTCCTTTACAGCGCACAATTTGAGTTCCATTGAGGAGGGCGGCTTCAGGGACCCTTACGTGCGTCTGATGCTTCAGCCAGATGTAGATAATCGCAAGCGTCAAACACATATACACCGCGGCGAGTCGAATCCATACTTCGATCAGCATTTCAAGTTTCCGGTTTCCCGTGATCAGCTGCAGGGCAAAGAGCTGGTCCTGCAGGTTCTCGATTACGATAGATACTCGCACAACGACATTATTGGTGAAGTTCGTATTTCGGTGGGTGGCCTAGATCTATCAAAGTCCGTCGAGGTAAGCATTGTGCTCAATGATTTCCGAAAATATTCTGATATTTGGTATTTCTTATTATTTTATTCGACCTAGATATGGGGCGACTTGCTGCGCACCAAGAAACCTAAAGAGGATCGACCAGAACTGCTCTGCTCCTTGAACTTCCTTCCACAGGCAGAACGTCTGACCATTGTAATAATGAAAGCCAGAAACTTGGATACTATTCAGGAGCCGTATGTCAAGGTACGGCAACAATTTGAACATAATTGAATATCTATTTTGATTAAACGACTTCATGTTAGATATATCTGATACAAAACGGAAAGCGCATAAAGAAGAAAAAGACAAGCATTTCAAAATCCGATGACCTAAGCAATCCCATTTGGAACGAGGCATTTACATTCAATCTACAATCAAATTACTTACAGAGCTCCGCCATTGAGGTGAGATTTTCGTGGTCATTATTGTCAATTGTAACACAATATCTTGTTTTAATATGTGCAGATCTATGTGGTTGGTGCGGGTAGCGAAGCAACTGAAATCGGCTGCTTTGGACTTGGCCCCCAGGAAAGTGGAACTGGTTGTCAGCACTGGCACGACATGATTAACAATGCACGCAAGCCCACAGCCATGTGGCACTACATTCGTTAAGAATGGCTTTAACATAAATATGTTTCAGTATCAAACAAACAGACAAACAAAAACAAATTCAAATCTTCATCCAGCGGTTTTCAAAGTACAAATCTCACCTGAAAAAAACAATATATACTGATTTCCATTTTTAATGAGTTCAGGGTGTAACAAGAGCGCAAAACCAACTTCATCGAGCGGTTTTCAAAGTACAAATCTCACCTGAAAGCAAGAGCTGAAAACCAGCCTAGGGATATCTGAAGCGTTACGCATAGCTATTTCAGATATATGCCATTATTTGCTAATAATTATAATTTTATAGGCTTTTTCCTATGGTGTCCAAAGTTTAACCCTATATTCCTATTGCTATATATATACGCATATATTCTATATTTACTTAACGACAAATACACAAGCTCAACCAAAAAGTTCCTACGGTGCACGAACGAAACGAGCAGCCAACCTTCATTCAATCTACATTCCGGACTCAATTTAAAGAAAAGGATACGAAAAAGGACCCGATCCGACTGAAGTAAGAATGGGGCATGTCAGCGGAGTTGTTGACATTTTGGTTCGCTTTGACGAAGAGAATTCAAGTGTGCATTTCTTTAATAATTATGAATATGAAAACATTTCAACGGCATTTCGTTAAGTCTCAAACGGTCGTCAATCACCGACCCTTGAAATTTGCTTAGACCACAGCAACAGACTGACGGACTCCTTTGTAGCGGCGACAGTTGACAAATTGCTCCTGCTGTCCTTTTCGAAGCGTCAGTATGAGTTGCACCCATGTGCGAGCGCATTGTGTGTGTACGCCATTGAGTGAGTGCCAATGGTTGACAGTTTAGAGTGCAAGTAGGCAACCTACGTGCTATAACTAACCATACAACGTAAAAATACAAAAGAAAGTTTTACAATCGTTTGCCACTGACTTTCCAAAGCAACTTCATGCGCAGCATTTGCTGCTCTGACAGTCCTCATAGCTCGCACTACGCTATGCACGAATGGCAATCAAACTTCCAAAGAGAAGCTCTGCTAATATATAACACCATCGCATTTTCGACTCGCGCTGTCGCGCACAATTAGATTCGATTGGTTGTCCGTGTTTTAGCATTTAGGCATATGCAGATACATGAATTTGTCTGCGTTCTCCTTGTTACTGCAATATGCTGAATCTTCTTGATTAAGTCCAGCTATGGCGTATGTAGGGATGGTATGTGGTTAGTGATACTATGCAATAAATGAAACGCCAAGAACTTCATGCAAATGGTTTACTTAACAGAATGTTCCTTTCATTGCAAGCAGCGCACCATTTGGTAATTATTACGAATATTCCATATACAACGATAGACACGTAAATCCTTTACTATTTGTCGATGTTAACTACATACATAAATACTAACATACATACATGGATATATGTATGTTGCATGTACATGAATGTAGTTTATAAGAAAATAATTGAATTATTTTCTCTACTCCAACAATATTATTATTCTATTTTTGATGTTGTACTATTATTGGATGTATGCAGGACAAGCTTACTGTAAAATATATACTATATATATAAGCTATACATATGAATACCTTTCATGTAAACACGTTTATATAAGCCATTAAAAAAAATATATATATATATATGAAAACATGTTATATAAATATATGATATATGCATCACTTATTATCTTACTGCAACTGCTATTGATAAAACCAAAAGTTAATTTATATTTAAAAGACTTGGAGAAAATGTTCATCCTAAACTATATAAATATATATACATATATATACATATAAAATATTGTAATCTAATACTTTTCTAATGTCATTTTAAATATGTATTTGTAAATCAAATGTTTAGTTTCTCAATTTTCCAATGTAAATTAATATTTTACATATGCATATATACCTATACATAAATATACATAATATCCGTATGATCAAATTATTCAATATATATAATAGCTTATATATACATATAACATTGACAAAGAAAAACTCATAAACTGAAATACCTCCGACTTACCTAATATTGTATTTATATCATAACATTGAACAAATTCACAAATATATAATTATATAACAGAGATTGTGAAATAAATTTCATGGAAACAATGGAAACTGTTTACACAAGAGTTTACTATCTTGCTCTTCTGAAAAATAAACCAAAATATCCTAAAATATACCAGCTATTCGCATATTGATGTGAACAAAAATTGATGTGAACAATTTATTTATTAATTATTGAGTGAATAAATACACAGCACACACAAATTTTAAAAACTTTTTTGTTAAGAATTTGCCAAAATATTGAAGTTAACGTAAGTGTAAAAAAAAAATCGAAAATTTTCAGATATATGAAGAATATCGACGGACGCAAATAAATATGCCTAAACAATAAATACATTGCAAACTAATTTTATTCTTAATAAGTTTTTTTTTTGCATTATTTCTGTCTTATATTAAAGTGTTTGCATTTTGCGGGCAAATGAACTGCTTGTTTAACGAGTGCACTGCTTGCTTAATATCAATTTCAAGTTCACAGTGCGTGCAAAACTGTAGAGTGTGTGAAAGAAGCAGCTTACATTTTCTCTATTCGATTAATTTTATTCTTTCCACATTAAACAGTAAAATATAAATATATTACATATTATAAGCGTAAACACACTTATTTTTAATACTAGCATCCGAATTTTGACATCTGTCAAATACGATTATCACACAGCTGCTGTCCATCTATATTTCGTGAAATGGCATATTGTCAATGAATTCAAAAAATATGCAAATAGTTAATTTCAAATCCTGCTAGTCTGGCAGCTCTGTCAGTCAGAATCAGCTGCTGTGCGCATGCGAATTTGCGTCCGTTAAATGTCTTGCAAGCGCAGTCGCAATGCCGCCACCGCGAACGGATCAACGGTAGTGCGCGTAATTTTTGATTTGCTAGTGATGAGAGTTTTGCATTGTGCGTGAAGAGAATTTTAATATATGTATTATCAATTAGATGTTGAGCGAAGTGCACCCCCTGAAGTGAATTGTGCACTGTAAAAGCTATTGATGAGAAAGCTCCTGTGCTACATGCGTATCATGCTGTCATGCATAAGCCGCTCTCCTCTGCCCGCTGAGGCTCTTCCCGTTCTGTGGTATTGTTGTTGTTCTTCCAGCGAGCGAGGCAGCGCGTAGGCGGCCAAAGTGGCAGTTATGGCCATAAATACAAATATGTACGTACCCGCCAGCAGGTATTGAATAAAAGCACAACAAAAAACAAAATGAAATAAATGAATGGTGTTGAATGCCATTTATACAAATATTATCAGAAACTGTGGCAGTCGCAGAACCAGATAGATGTGCAATACATACACTCCGCCAATGTTCTGACCAACCTACGGACTGCAAAGCCACTCGCCGAGTACTGCCGATGGTGATGTAAGCACCACTGCCATCCAAATCTGTAAATGTAAATAGTACCTGGTTAGCTGGTTCGAGTAGTCAACTATGTGCATACGTACGTACCAAATGACAGCATATTTTGTAAACTCGCCCACCCACTGTCAATAATAGACTTTTCTACTTTATTGACCTAAAAGAGCAGGCGAACAAACTCGAATAAACTGCATCATACACTCATTGCCAAATGGAGTACAAATATGATGGTGATGTCTAGACATTGCCTGTGTAATACCCACAATTCAAGATTTTGTTTGCTTTATGGCAATCATCACTCCTACAACCAATACAGTGATAAAAATAAACCGACTGATTGGATTAAGTTTATTGTATACCTCCTGTACAGAATTGCCACTTCAAAATTGGTTTACAATACGATCACATGAGAAAAGTAATTGTTCTCAAATTATCTAATCCTAATATAACCTGATAACTTAATCGTAATTGCGACTTTATAAACGGAATTCGAAAAGATATGCACTCATTTCATTTCATTTCCCAATTCTTAGAGGAAATTTATTCTCTTGACGACAATTCTCATGATAATTTGACAATTTAAACACAAACACAATTTAATTTAAAGAACATTGTTCAATAAATTCTGTATGTATATCGTAATGTTATTTATTAAACAAATATGAAAGCTCTAGTCGAGAGAGGAAATCCCCTGATTCCTTCGAAGAACTGATATTCCAATAATTCTTCGCGTCTTTCTGCTTACACAAGAAACACACACAGTCACATATACGGATGCACGCACAAACACGCATGGGCTGCAGTGTGGGCTTACTATGGGAACTTAATTGTTTAATAATTTTTCATGTCTATGGGATGTCTTCAGATCGTGATTATAACATTTGCGAACGTATTGAAATACGCCTTTTACAATTTTAGGGGGAGTGGGAGGATATAGGGGTGGGGGTGAATTATAATAAAAATCGAAATGTTATATAAACCATATGAATTAACATTTAAAATTTGACGACTCTCGCTTTAAAAATATAGGAGATACAGTTTTAATAATGTACTCTTATATCTTCCGAGATCGACGCGTTCAAACATACGGACAGACAGACAGACGGAATCAGCTCGTCGCCCTGGTCAAGAATATATATACTTTGTGGAGTCTGCCACGCCTCCTTCTGCCTGTTACATACATTTTAACAAAACCATTGTACCCTGATTTCCCATTTCCCATATAATTCCATTAATATAACGGCAATATTTGCAATTGAACTTTAAACTAAATAATGTGAAATTCTAAGGAGAGTATCCCAAATATAAGAGAAATATAAGACAACAATAATAATTTATTAATCGATTTAATGGAGTTTTATGCTACATGTAAAATATCAAATTCAACCTACAAATAGCTCCAGATCTGAAATCACATCCGGAGAGCGCTAGACCGGTTAGAACCGATTAATAATACTCGTTCAGGAAATGTGATGAGTATATTGGTTTTCGGTAAGGTGCGTCTATGCCTCCGCTCAATGAGTTAGAAGCTATTTCTCCAAGTTTTAACTTGTAATTTATATTTAAGTGAAGCTTCGGCTTTTAAGGTATTACCTACAAATTATGTAATTTGTAATAGTAAATATGTGTAAAACTGCATCACCACTGATGAGTTTTGCTAGAAATTAAAGAATTATTTACCTATATCATTAATAATGGATTAATAACAAATGTAATATTGTATATGCTGATATGGCAAATCAGAATTTCACAATTTCACAATTTAAATAATAAAAAATTAAATTAAAAATCTTAAATTTGTTTCATATTTAGCATGTCGAATAGTAGACTACACAGATACTTCCTATTCACAAGCCAAAAAAATTTAAATTTTTTCCAAAATCAAATCTTGCATATAAAGGGAGTAAACTTTTATTTAGCCTATTTGTATATTTTATGACTTAATTTCTTATATTTTGAAATTGTTTTTCATTCACTCACAAGATATGCTATAAACAATATGCTCGACCCATCTATCGATTCTTCCGTCCTAATGTAAGTCAGTAGCATTTGAAGATAGACAAACATATACCATAAAAGGAGGGAAGCCCATTTTCAGATTTTTCCAAGGAGACAATTTGTTCAGAGCTTTAGTAAAAATGTAAATGATTTCAACACCTATTAAAAATATAATATAAGTAAGAAAGATAAGAGAAGATAAATTCATATAAGTAAATTCTAAGAAATTTATACACTCTTAAAGTTTAGTTTTTACAAATACTTATTATCAATTTTAAATTGTGATCCAATATCAAGTATACGATTCTCAATTTTGTATCAAAGGAGACCACTATGACCCATATTCTCACACACAGTAAAACACGCATATAGCTAGAGCTATAAGAGTGGATGTTTCTAAATACATATATAGATGTAGAAATATACATATAGACATACATCCCGAAATAAACGAACAGAGACATATATTTTGAGGGCATTTTTCCTTTTCGGAAAATAATAAGCCGCCACATACACCTACGCTAGAAGCAAGGCAAAATACAGATGCCCTAACTTGAAGTCTCACATAGGTCTATAAATAATCGCGATATCAACTGAGCGAATACCTATGCGAAGAATCAAGAACTTTGGGACGCTGCTCGCACACACCTTGAATGATGCAGCTGCTAGTATGAAATGTGAAAATTGATCGAATATGTGATACCCTTTAAGAGGTAAGCATACGGAGCTATATTTAGCTCAACTACGTTGCAAAATAGCTGTAACTAACATGCGAGCTGTTTCTCTAGATCCGTAAACAAAAACCAATAGTTCATGAATGAAATCTGAAATGAAGTCAAAACTAAAATTTTACGAAATATAATTCGGTTTGTCCGGCGTGTTTTTATCGCGTTTGGTTGCTCTATGCCCGCAGAGCAACGCGAAACGAGCATCGCGGCAACAAGTTGGATTTTTCTAAAAATGAATACACGAAATATCTTCGTGTTTGGCGTTAAATACAGACGGGCACGACAACGCACCGCAGCCACGAATGATAAATACAAAAAAGAGCGAAACAGAAGAATTTAATTTGATTTTCATTTGGCCTGCTCAGCGTTATATTCTTCGTCTATTGTGTGGCGGGGCGTGTTTGCTCTCTCCTACTTCTGCCTCTGCCTCTGCCTCTGCCTCCGTCTGCGCCTGCGTCTCCGGCTACGGTCCATCTAAGGAGCATATTTTCAAAATGATGCCTTTCGTGACTTTCCCGCAACTAGTTGAGTTTTGGATGTCAACACGATGTACACGCGCGCGATGGCGATGCAGCAAACCAGTCCAGTGCGATAGAGAACGCGTGAATCTTTGGCTACTCCTCATAAAGGGATCCCACTCAATACTCAATCCAGCAATCAGTCTGCCTGACTCAATGATAAACTAGTCTAGCACTAACAATAAAAGGAGAAAGGTATAATTATACAGCATAAATTCAAAATGTGAGCACCGTCATTGTTATGACTAAAGTGATATTATCAATACTCAAACCGTCCGTCGGACATGACCATTGGCACACGATTCTGTGTTTGCCTGCATTTAAGCCTTTTATGGTCATAGACTTTCGTCTAGGGAATCGAATTTCATGTACAAAAACAAATTTCAGCGTTCTCTCAAAAAAGCATGTGCATGTATGTCTGTGCGTGAGTGTGTGTGTGTGTGTGTGAGATACAGCGCCACTTGCCAGTTCGTAGAGCATTTAAATAGAATTCCCGTGTTGCCACCACCATCGCCGATAGAGACGGATACGGATACGATCGGACGATGACGATGACCGGCGTGTGAAAAATGTGAGATGTGAAAAGTGTGTGTGTCTCAATAAAACATAGTTACGATTTATTCCATATTGGGATGGCAGAATGTAACATGTCTTAATTATTTCATTGCAGAGCGTAACATGGAGGATCTGACGCGGGAGAAGGTCATGGCCTATGAAGCTTGTGACCACAGCAGCAGC